GCATCCATCATTGTGCAATTCCGAGCTCAGTTGAATGCTCCCTATGTGCATCGACATCTCAAGAAGTTAGGAGCACCACTCCCTACTTTCAGGTCGGACCATTGTTGCACAGGCAAGCCAGGTCAACGTGCTCATCGACGGCGACTACGAATGCTGGCCAGGATGCGATTGTCTGAAGACTTTCAGGAGACAGCCCAACACCTCGACTTACTCAACCGATTTGGCAGTAACACTTCTGAGAAGTTCAATGTGTCTCGACTACTTCGGAGTGCTGCGGTGAGCACTTCATTTGTCTTTTACCTGCTCAGACTTCTTCCTCATCTTGATGCACTCCCCCGAAGTCGAGCACATGATCAACTTCGTCAGATCCTGCGGTTTCGAGGAACAGATTTACCTCCTCGAAGCTTTCCGTTGCGCGTCAACGAGACTCCCACAGGTTTCATCCGGACGGCCAAGGACTGGTTGAAACAAGTCGTGGAAAACCACCAAGAGTGGTTCCCACCGTATCATCTACCCAAGGCTCAGATTGCGGAAGTCGCTAATCCGACCTTGGGTTCCTCATTGTTCAATCATCGGTCATGCATTGCGGAATGGTCTCCATCAACCATACCGACTTGCACATGTGGTCAGTTTCCCACTCTTCCCAGGACTCCCTGGAATCACATTCTCTGCAGTGCGAGTCAAGCAGTCACTCTTCTTCCCGACCATTTTCCTGCTATTCTCTTGAGCAACATGAAGGATCCGGTGGCTCTGGACAATAACAGGTTTGTCAGGTTGCAAATGACCGCATTCAAACGGTGGAGTCGAGCTTGGAAACTTCCCCCATCATCGACTACCGCATGGTGGGTTTTCCTACAAGATCACCTACAACAACAAAAACCGGGACAGGACCCTCGCGTCAGACAGTACAGCAACTTCGTGCTGCTCATCGGATCCTCAAGACTTGGGTCACGTTCCCAGCAGATCATCATCCAACGGAACTTCACCTTGCGTGTCCAGTGCAATTTCACTACTTACTGCTCAAAACGTTCTTCGATGGCCAGATCTTTCGACCTCTACCTCAAGCAGCAGCATGTACACTGTCCCAGGTCTTAGCAGCGACTCGTGCTCAACTTGGCTCCTACCATACCTTGGTGCTCCGACGCAAACGCCTCCCTCAAGCCTACCTGTTACCTAAAGAATCCAAGAAGTGGTGCGGAGCAAGACCGATTGTTGCTTATTCACACACCTGGAATGCGAAACTCTCTTCGGCGGTTGCTGTAGCCACAATGTTGCTCACGTGCAGAGTGTTTGGACGAGCTCACTCCCTTCCCTCTTGTCAGTATGTACTCCGACAGATTTGGCAGGTGCTACAGAGATCGACACTAGGTGAGGAGATGGAACTACGTCAACAAGATCTTGTGGGGTTCTATAGCGCAGTCCCTCATTCTCGCATTCTTGACTCAATTGAATACCTTGTCTATCGGTACTGTGAAGCTGAGAATGTTGCTCTTGATCAAGAACTTTCGGTTTCCATTTCGAGGACACTTCCGTCGACATGCTCATCGACATTACCAAGTTGTGCTCAAGGACCTTCCAATGCTTGTACACTATCTTTTGAAGACAGCTGTACTCTGTGTAGGTTCCTCCGTGGTACAACAGGTTCAGGGAGCCTCGATGGGTTCTCAACTAGCGCCGGCTCTCTGCAGTGTTGTTGCAGTTGTTCATGAGGATCGTTGGAATCGAGTAATGCAAGGTATCCCCACGCATGCAGACCTTCCTCTTTGCCTGAGATATGTGGATAACAGAATCCTTATGGGCATCAAAGCTGACTTCGACACCGATGCATATCGACATTTTCAAAGGCTGGACTGGTATGAACCACCATTGATGCTCGAGAATGTCTCTGACACAAAGGTGCTGGGCTTCCACTGTGACACAGATCAACGCACTATGTTGATGGAGCTTCCCAACAGACCAGGCCAGATACGAGGAGTTCATTCCGTTTGTGGGAAGAACAATCTCCTCAGTAGTTTCAGGTCTCGAGCGTACTTGATTTGCCGATTTGTTCGCCCGCGGCTGCATATCAGGTCGCAATTGCGTTCTCTTCAAGCCCTGTACGAACAACAGGGTTATTCCTCCATGGATTTGTCAAATATTTTGTGTCACCTTTGCAGGCTCCACAGAGTGCCTTGATCTCATCTTAAGACAACCACCGATGTTCAAAGTTGCAAGCGCTTGCTTGACAGTTTAGTCATGGACATTTCCTTCTTCAGCATGTGCATTCTTCTCCTCTCGTACATGCATTTCGTGCTCTTCAGGTCAAAGTAGGTTACCTCTTAGGTCAACGTGCGCCGACAACATGTCCCGTGGATCTTGCGTATAGAACGAGCGAGATGTTTGACATAGTTGATAGAATTGCCTCATGAATCTTCCTGCATTGAATGACATTGACCTTTCCCATCGGCTGGTATTGATTTCTTCCATTGACTTTCATTGACCGCACCACTGGCTGTAATGGCTCAGGCCAAGTCGTATGCGGCTGACAGAATGTCAGCACCTGTTTACAATTTCCATTTCTCAATTTCAGATGGTCGTGCTGCGGCCGTGCGACAGACGCCCAGAGTTTTTGCGAGTGAGCCGACAGCAGATGAGCGCATGCAACAAGCAACCGTTGACAGTGACAAAGCACCTTTGATGCTTGATGCGCCGCCGGGGCAGTTTCACAACAGTCAGAACACCAGTGGCCCAGCACTTGCCGCAGACAAGCATACAAGCAACAACGGCACGTCCGACTGTGCTCGCAAGGCAGCTCGCAGCAACACTGAGTCTTCACCTGTTGTGCGCAGGGACAGGTCACGCAGCAACAGTGCCCGCAACTTGTATCCAATCCATCCTTCCTACCCTGAATTGTCGTTTACACCACCAGAAACCTGGATTGCCCCCCTGAACCAGTCTATGTTGCAGGGAGTTTCTCCGAGCTGGAATCAAACACAGCTGCAGTGGATGCACAGCATGCTGTCCCAAGCAGGTTACATTGTGATTGCCCCATCAACTACAGCACCCAGCGCGAGATACCCACATGCAGGTTCACCTGCTTCGGCCATGTTAACAGCGCAGCCTGATTCAGCAGCTGCAAATGTTGACAGCCAAGGTGTCTGGTTGAGTAACGTAGAGTTTCACGATTTAGTTTGCAGAGCACAACAGGGTAGTGCGCACGCAGCGCACGGTGATATTCCAATCGCCTGTGCGCAACCAGAGCCCATGCGCACGGAAGTTAAGGCTCCTCCGCCACCCCCCCCCACCACTTGCAGTGCAATCGACACCTGTGTCGCCGAGTGGTGCAAGGGTTAACGGAACAACAGAGGAGACGCCGCAGCCCACTAGCAGAGCAGTTGTTCCTTCACAACAACCCGTTGAACCACGATCCCAGACCCTGCGAAACCAAATCTTGCGCATACAATCAGAGCGGGACTCAGCCAGCACTCCTGCCCACCAGGCTACAAGAAGTGGCGCCCCACCTGCCCGTTCAAATCCTTGGGCGCGGCCCCGTGCGTCTCCACCAACTCCGCCAATTCAACCACCCCCTTCGCCTAGCCACACCCCAAGACAGACATTCACACCAGCTTCGACAAAGCAAACAGTACCAGCCTCAGCAACAACGCTCCTGCAATCGGTTCAGCTTGATCGCGCAGTGAATGGTTGTTCGCAGTCTTCCGAGTGCAAAGCGCATGTTGTCATCCGTGCAAAGCAGATGCCATATGAGACTGATGAACAAACATGTTTTGCCAGCCTGCGGAGTATGCAAGCAGAGTCCATTCTCTCGCACCACTGGATTTTACCGGCAGACATTGAACAGATGTCATGGAGGGATTTGCGCAAGCAGTGGTCAAAACATGGAGTTACGACCTCATTGCATGACAATGGTTTTCGCAAAGAGGTCATTGGCCATCTTTTAGCTGGAACTCAACATGTTTATGAGACTGTGTCGCCGGACCTGTTGATGCCTCCTACTCAGCTCGAGAAGCTTATTAAAGCCATTCATCAATCCGGAGTACCCTACAAGCAACTTTTCCAGCAGCCCGTCACGATCCACAAAGAGACTTCTGGCGTTTTGATTTATTCGTGGAAATTGTTGGGCATGCCGGGGCAAGAAAAGCACGCGAGACATTGCGCTCGCACTGGAGAGTATCCCGTCAGCTTCATGCACTTCACATCGCCGGAAGGGTTGTTGGGAATTCTTCGGAGCGGTTTCATCTTTCCGAGTACTCGGGAAACCATTGGAGCTACCGCTGGTAGTCCTCCACTAGGCTTCTTCAGCCGCGGTTCCACTCAGCATGATGCTTTGGTGTTGGATCAGATCTGCCAGTTCATCGCGAGTAATTGCGACTACGGGAAGGCTGAGTTTGGGTTGTGCTTTACTGGCTACATGCACACTGAGCACCACAAACCGGGCAACTCTGACACACAGAAAGAGCAACGGCTCATGTATTCTTACAACTGCGTTAAGCCTCCTTCAAAGGACAAACGCTGGTGTTTCAGGACTGACGACGCGGTGATTTACAACTTTCATTTGGTTTATGACTCTGCTTGGGATTCTTGGGGTGACTGGAAGGCTCAGCGAGAGTCGATTAGAGACCAAGCATCAAAACAACTACAATCGTCAGCGTCGCAGGGTGGATGATGGCATCGCTTCTTGCTCTTGGCTACATTAAGAGTGATTCGCGCGCGGGTTCGCTACACTAGTTTCACTTAAGTTCTACTTTGTCTCTACGCGCGTCGAAAAACAAGCGCTGCTGTTGTTGCATTGGCTGCAGTGCGAGACATGGACAGTTTGGATGCTTCAGAGCCTGTGAGGGAGTGGGTGAGTGTGCGAGTGGTTTCGTCTGCCTGCTAGGGTCGCGCGGTCTTGATGGCATGATTTGCAGCTTCTCACTGTCCATCTGCTCCAGGTTGTTGATTGTTGATGCTCGAGGTTGTTGTTCTTCGGTAGTCGTGATTTTACCTGTACAGTGTCCGTCATGTCGGACCGTTGGTCTTGGAACTCCGATTGGCAGCGGGGTTGGAATGGTGAAAATGATTGGCAGTACTCCCACTACAACCAGCAGTACAACCAGCAGTGGAGTAGTTCTAGTGGTGAATCGTGGCAGCAGAGTTCAGCTGATCTCCGTGCTGAACTCCCATTCGCAAATGAAGGTCGCAACACTGCCCCTCGCACACCGCCATCCCAACCGAACTCGAAAGCCTATGAAAGCCGTGCCAGACAGTGGGACTTGGCGTCATCGCCTACGGGGGGGAAGTCTGGCGTTATGTCCGATCTCCCAAAGGATTTTCAACCTGATGAGTTTCATTACGACAAGAATGAGAAGTTCAAGCGCAAGTTCCCGAAGACGATTGCACACACACCGTGGTCTAGCCGTAACAATCTAGCAGGGAGGGACCCCTTTCAAATTCCCGTTTCAGAGCTTTGCTACATGGGGAAATCCAACGCGTCTCTACGCTGGCTTGCGTGTGGTGAATTCATGACACTAGTGATGGCCCGCTCCATGAATGAAGCCGTCCTCATGGAGAAGTTTCTCAAACTGAACAGGACAGCAGGGTTAGATCTCATGCAGGTTGGCAGCCAGATTTTTCAAGAGTTGCATCCTGATCGTACACCTGACCTCGACACCAACGCAGGCAAAGCAGACATCATGCAAGCCATTGCGACGAAACTACATCAAACCCTTGTGCCCTATGTCAAGAATGACCTTCAAATTGCACAGCAGAAGGTTAAAAGCTTACAGAACGAGCTTCAGCGAGTCAAGCAAGGACAGGCAAGCCCCGCGTCAGCGTCTCAACCCAAGCGTCGTCGTTTGGTTGGGAAAGCTCCGAACGATCAGTCTTTGGCCCCCTTCGATGTTGACATGGTTCCCAACAAGCAGCCCCTCAAGCAGACGAGCCCCAAAACTGTTACGCCGACAGCCGTCAAGAAGTGGATTGAAGGCCTCGAACTCTCTGTAGACAAGAAGAAGTCCTTGGAACAGCAATGCAACAAGATTACAGACTTGCATTCTACCCTCAGCGACGCGCAGAAAAACAACCTTGCCAACAGGGCGGTGGAGCTGGGACTTCCGGTTGACTTGGCATCGAAAGCTAAGCAACCCGAGCTCATGAAGATCATCCTTGCGGCAAGCAGTTTGGAAATTTGACTATTTGACCTACATGATACAACGATGAGCTTTGCCGATGTCACTTCTTGCCTAGAAGCTCTGACGGCGCTCACGCTATTCTTTTCCATCATCTCAAGCTTTTTGGTGACAGAGACTATAGCAGATGTTCGGCTTGTCCTTCGTTTTCAGGCCGCGCGGCTATTGTTGATGTGGTTTTTCAAATTTGACAACGATTCGCAGTTTGCAAAACAGTGGCTTCACAGATTCAAGTCTCATAGCATCGAGCCGCGGAGCTTCAAGATTGAGGACTTCCGCTCTCAGGAGTATGTGGTGTATGCGTGTTTCACCCCAACCTTTGGATCCAAACGTACGCAGCTCCGCAAAGATTTTTATGTGGGATCGACTGCGAAAAGCATGTTGAGCAGGATCGAGTCGCGAGTGCGCAAGGCAAGACAAGTACAGAGGGGCAGCATTGTGAAAGCCGAGCTGGCCATACATTATTGGGTTCAAAATGACCTTTTTCACCATTTGGTTACCGTTCCTGTCAGCTTTTGCAAATCAGCTTTGGATGCCAGGTTGTTAGAGCTTTTGCTCATCGGCCGTTGGCAGCCGCATCTCAATTTTCCATTTTGTCGCAGGTTTCTTGTAAGGCCTTCAGGCATCAAGAAATGCAGAGCTCCTGTTCGACATGGCCATGGGTTGGTGGGCAATCGCGTTCACAAAAAGCTTCGGAGGCTCATTAAGCCAGGCTTCCTACCGCTCAAGGCTCAACTTGGGTTGTCTTGCGAACTTCGCGCAGCGTGGCAGATGATTCTGGATCTTTGTTCTACTGCGAAGAGCTCTTTTGACGTTTCGCGAAAGCTTCGGTCAAACCTAATCCCTTCACAACATGTGTTTGCGCTGCTGAAACTCTCTGCGAACCTTGAACAGCCTTTCCACAGAGCTGCAGTCAAGCGTGAGCTTTGCAGGATTTTCAAGTTTAGGAACCTGGTTGTTCCAAAAAAGAATAAACCTGTGAAACTGGCGCCCCTGGCACATGATGATTGGGTTCCGGAGGTGAAACGTTGGTTGTCTGAATGGCTTCGCAAGCAAAAAGGCCATATTCTACCTTTTCATGTTCCCACTCGCCAGACTATCTGCACCGCTTTACCGTCTCTCAAAAAGCAACTCTACAATCATAAGCGCTGGATGCGGGAATGGGAGGATCACCCGCATCAAACTCCACCGTGCAGTTGTCAGCAGCTCCTTAAGCGAAGCAAGTTTGCTGCAGTCGACACGATTGATGGCCATATTGTTTCACCTGCTGCGTTGGTTGTTTTACCCGAGCCGCTTCAGACAGCGCTCCAGTTTTCAGCGTCTTCGCAGATTTGGCCTTCACTTGAATGGTTCGTCAAACAGTTCAAACAGAGCATCAAGCAGTGGTCGGATGACAACAAGATGCCCTTTTTCCCATTACAGTCGTGTGATTCATTTGTCAGGGCGCATTGGCAACAGCATTTGCAGGCAGCAAAGGGCTCAATCACTTTTGATGATGTCCAGCATCTCCGCAAATTGTTTTCCAATCTGGTGGTTTTTGGACAAGATCACCAACCTGATCATGTTATGATATTTTGCCCAATGAGGTTTTGGAAGATGGTCCATGACACATTCTTTGACCAGACTGTCTACACGGACACGAGCCTAACAGCTCAACAAGCACATGACCGCGTTTGCTCCAACATTCCTGCCAACCTCAAGCGCGATCTACCTTGGGCGTGGCAGTACAAACAACCTTTGCCGTTTGCTTACGTGCTACCCAAACAGAAAAAAGCATGGACTACTGCAAGGCCAATTATTGCATATAGCAAGTCGCCGATTGGCATTGGTTTGAAAGCAGCCGCGCTTGTTCTCGCCAGGGTTACCAAATTGGTTTTTCCAGATTCTTTCGATGGCAATTTGGTGTCCATCTTTCATGATCTTCATCGGTTTTTTCGCGGGGCCCCGGTTGATCAGGCTCTGACCTTTGTGAACGACGATTTGATTGGCTTCTTCACGAGCATACCGCAAGACAGAATCCTTCATTCCGTTCGCGAAGTTCTTCAGCGCTACATGCAAGCAGTTCGGTGCGATCATACGCACACTTTTTCAGTGACGCTTCATGAAGAGCAATTTCCGGGCCAAGTGTTTAAAGGCAAAACCAGTGCAAAGCAGGTCAACATTCAACAACTACTTCAGATTGTTGAGTTGTCATTCAAAGCAAACATGTTCGTCGCCCTCGGCACAGTCTTCGCGCAGGTTAGAGGCTCCACTATTGGCAACCAGGTCTCACCGATTATCAGCAGCATAACGGTGATGATGCAAGAGCATCAATGGCAGCAAGATTTTTCGGCTTTTCGCTCCAACAACAGGTGGTCATTTTTTGCCCGGCGTTATGTTGACAACAGATTCATCATCTTTGCGCAAGAGCTTCGCCGTACCAGTGCTTTACGAGCATTGTGTGACCTAGACTTTTATCAAGCACCGGTGGAAATCGAAGTGGTTCATGACAACCATTTTCTGGGATTCAACGTCGATGTGACTCACAGAAGTGTCCGCTTCATGATGCCGAAACACGCCTGGCAATTTCGGCTACCAACGTCTGCGGGATGTAAATCCCACATGCTCTCTAGCTTCCGCAGCCGAGCATCTCTGATCCTACAGCACACGCTTCCACTCGAACATGTTGCAGAAGACATTGAGCGCTTGTTTCACATGTATATCAAGTTTGGCTATAGTAGTCAACTCCTCAAACCTATTTGTGATCGCATGCTCTCGAAGGTCAAACGGCCTGCAGAGTAGTTTTGTGAACGTACAGGTCGACATTGTGCGCAGCAGTTGATGTCACTTCTACGAACAAATCTGCTGGAGCAAGTTGTGGCCTGTCTTGAGCTTGTTTGGGGGCATGCGCTACACGCCATTCAGTGTCAAGACAATGTCGTTTTTCGTTTGTTTTTTTGGGGTTTTGCGCTAGCTACCTAGCTGTGCTCATGGTGTTTCGTCTGCAACTTTTTGTTTAAACAGCGCAGTTTGACATGCGGAGTTGGTTTTTGCACCAGAAAAAGCAACCGTCCCAAAGCCAGGGGAGTGGTACGAACTTCGGCATTGCTGTTTGACGCAAGTATCACATGCTTGATGGCGCTGACACAATCTCGGCAGTTTGGGGTTAAAGCGCCAGGTGAAATAACAGAACGTCTCCCGACACAGCGCGTTCCTGACCTTCGTGCATCTGTCTGCACACATAAAGGCAGTGTCCGCCACTTGTTCCGGATGCAACAATTTCACATTTTTTTTGTCTTGTTGTTCTTCACTGGTAGTTTTGGTTAATGCACCATGCAAAACACTTTCTTTGTAGAGTGAGCTAGGCCATGTTGGGAACACCGCGTGCGGTTTTAGTCGTGTTTAGCTCTGGGTGCGTACTTCAAAAGCTTTGACAACAATGTCTAGGGTTGTCGAAGCATAGTTCTCTTTCCTTGCAACCCAACCTTTCCACCTTGACATACTGTGATGACCCTACTCGAGACGCTCGGACTCCTCCTGTTCCTCTGTGCAATGCAATCAACGTTGTTTCTAGCGTCCGTTTTTTGCTGCACTCTTGTGTCTGTGGGGTATCCAGACCCTTCTCTGCCCTCGAGTTTTGGATATACTTACATACGTGTTTGCGCGTGTTTGTTGAACGGTGTATGCAGTATCCAGGCCCTTCTCAGGCTCTTTACTTTTCGCCCCATCGTTCACTCAGTTGATGCAAGATAGTTGCAATTGTTGGCTCCTTCCTTGACTCAGTTGATGCGGGACAGTCATACTTTGGTGGATAGATGTTGGCCCCCAATTCCAGAAGGGGGCGTGTGTGTGTG